CTCGTCAGAGAAGATAACCCAGCCGCCGGGGAGTTGACCGTCGCTACCCTTCGCCGTACCAGAGCAATTTTCGGCCGCCAAACGAGGTAAAAATTCTACCATTTACTCAGAATTTGATTCTAAACCCACCTATGGCCAAATCGGAGCGAAAGCACCGGCTAATTGGCCAAAAAATGCCGCTGAAGCTCAGCGGCGCTGCCGTGAGGTGTTTCAGTTTTCGTCTCCGATGAGGCCCTTTTCGATTCCCGTTTGATGTGATTTTTTCATCATTGTGATCACCGTTTCCTCCTCTATAGGTTGACCGAAGTAAAACACCCAACCGCTACGTGAGCTGGAGGAGTCACCGCACCGTAGGTGAATTTCAGTTTTATACGTTTTTTTGGCCCACCGAGGGCCTTAAGTGTATTTTCTCACAGGAACCAATGCAAGTTTGGCTGAATTCGGTCTAAAACGGTCGAAAACAGTCAACCTAAGGCAGATCGCCGTCGCTGGAACACAGCGGAGCCACCGTGCCGAAATTCTAAAATTGGTCGAGTAGGCCCTCGGTCTGATTTTTGGGTTATTTGAGACATGTGTAGGTACCATAAGTGCGTTTCAGTTCCCAAAAAAAAAATTCAGTGAACCCAAGAACCACCCATAGGTGCAATGATAATTTAGCTTTCGGCTTCAAATCAAGTAAGGACCCCTCACCCTATTTCCTATCATGGAATTAAAGTTCGAATAAATGGTAATACTGTATTTTGTGCAAAATAATAGATATGCATAATTAATTATAATTGCTAATGGAGGCCGAACCGGACATTATTTTCTGTCGATTCCTGCTTGATTTATTTTATAGTTTAAATACATTATGGTATCTGTTTTATCTCCTCTATGATTTTAAATGCATGTATCACTTACTTCACTACTGTTTGATTTGATGATGAAGATTAAGGACAAATAGGAATGAGATGTGATCTGATAAATGGATAAGTTGACAGTTTCACTAGATATCCTAAGAGATGGTGAACGGATCGGGTTCATAGAGAACCCTACTGTGAACGTCGTCTCATATCGGACGTGGTATGGAGACTTGGTTATTTGGTGCTCATACCAGACGGGGTATGGGGACGACCCGCTTCACCCTTATACCGGACAAGGTATTGAGCTTTAATGTCTTGGTGCTCATACCGGACGGGGTATGGGGACGGTCCTGGAATTAAGACTGTTAAAGAGAATTTGTTCACGTGCAGCGGAGATACCCATATGGATCCCCATGGATATTAGTGAGCTGGTGAAAAACGAGAAACGGTGATAATTAGTTATTGTTAATGAATACAGATTTATGATATGTTTTACGTTACTGATTATGTACGAAATTGTGATCTATATGATGTTATTGTATTTATAGGTTGTTTTCACAGGTTCTCCAAGGATAAGAAAAATGGTAAGTAGTTTTATTTTAAATAATTGTATTAGTTTAAAATTTGTGCTTCATTGGTTGTTTTTGGTTTTCTACCAACCTTTACTTCTGTGACGGTGATATAGTGTGATGTCCTTACTGGACTATTGTACCTTATTCTTTATTTAACCATTTCAGATTAGGAGGACCTAGTTCCCGAGCCTGATCCACAAGAAGACGGCGAGTAGATGCTAGATGCTTTATAGTTTCCTTTATTTTTCTCATTTCTCGTATTTCTTTAGAGAACTTATTTCGTGATATTGTTTAGTACTTTTAAGTTATTGTGTAAGGGATGTTAACCTTAATATTTTGTTTCGCTTCCACACTTAGATTATTATATGTATTTCCTTTTGAATTTCTGAGGTCATTACATTCTTAAACTTTCGTTAAGCCTATAACAAGACATTTTTAACTGAGTTTAGACATAATATACTCTCCTAGACTAAGATTTATCTCAAATCTAGTATTACAATCACGTAAGAAATCCAGTCAAAAAAGTGAATTCCATAAAGAAGTAGACTAAGAATTCTAGAGGAAAAGTGAATGTTGATTCAATATGTTATATTCTATTGATTATTAAAAATAACATGAATTTCTTACAATATTGAACTACTATTTATATGTTATAACAACAATAAGATGTTATAATAATTAAAAAATTTTCTTCTATCTGAAACTCACGAGTTTAAAACTTAGAGTTTACCACTTTAGAAGTACATTACAAGTTTAGTGAAATCGAATTTTTTTTTTTCAAAATGATACGATGAAAACTTTGTTATAAATCTTTAACCCCAATATAGATTGCTGGACCAAAACATGATTTAGCTCCAATGCACAAATTTTTTAAAAAATATAATTAACTATTAAAAGATCAACTTGCTTATCGTTTATTTTTTATATAACAAATAATTTTTTATTTTTAAAAAATAGAAACTGTGAACCTATATATACATATATATATTTGAATTTTCATACCTCACGTGTAATTTACAATTTTTGTACTTAACATGTATTCTATTCATTGTTTGATTCTTCTTTACTTTTGTCAATCAATAGATGATCAAATTAGTAACTACAAGTGATACAAATATGATCTTAGAAATATATCTGACATCTAATGACGTTCTATAACCTAACAAATCTTAAAACGCTACAGTCACTAGTACTGAAATAAATAAGGGTGTTCGTTTTTCTTACACCGTTTTCATACTATGTAACGGCTCCGGAAATTTAAAATGAAATGTGTATTAAAAATATCAAATGTGGAAGCGAAGTCAAAATTTCGATCAACATTCCTTACACTAAAACCAAAAACGTGCTCACAAAATATAAAAGATCAAACTACCTATAGGAGAAACTTGAAAGTAAAAGCTACGAATATGACTATGGAGTCTTTAGGCGTCCCCTTCGTCGTCCTCCTGCAGAATCGGCTCGGGAACAATGTCTTCCTGATCTGAAATGATTAAATAAGGAATGAGTTACACTAGCCCAGTAAGGACATCACGATATCTCACCGTCACGGAGGTAAATGTGGGTAGAAAACACAAAAAGACCAATGGAGCATAATTTACAACAAATTCTTTTGTTAATAATAAAACCTTTACCATCCACTTACCTCGGTGAAATTCATAAAACAATATACGAAAGCAATAACATTATCATCATTATGAAATAATATAAACTGTATGACATAATACTTATCACGCCTTTTGTAATTCAATCATTACACAACATATTTTTCCTCATTTACCAGCCCACTAGTATCCATGGGGATCCATAGGGGTCCCGCTACCCATTAACCCTTAACACTTGAAATCAGATTCCAGGGCCGTCCCCATACCCCGTCCGGTATGGGCGGCAAAACACATAAGGTCTTCATACCCCGTCCGGTATGAGAGACCACAATCCCGGTAGGGTTCCCTACGGACCCGGTCCATCCACCATCTCCCAGGATATCTAGTCGGACTGACCACATTATACAATTACCCATTTACATAATCGTTCATTCTCTTTTTCCTCAGTCAGCATCATCAATCCACATACAAACAAGCAAAACAGTAATTTATGCCAAACAGACAACATACAGTATCAATATCCCAGTCATTCAATCAATAATCAATAAAACAGTAAAATATGCACATGAAACTATAAAATGAAAACATCAAACCTCATACTGCATTTAAAACTGTAAAATAGGCCAAATAACAGTTAACCGATGAACACACTAGACTCGGGCTCCATTAGTGACCTTAAGCAATTTCACACATTCGTTGATTCAAGAAATACCGTTTTATCATTATTGAACTTTAATACCGTGATAGAAAATAGGGTGAGGGGTCCTTACTCTTTTCGGGGTCCGAACACAGCTTCACGCACAGCGCCTACAGGCTGTCCCTAATTTTCCCTGAATTTTTTCTGGGGAACTGAAACGCACTACTGGTACCTGCACGTGTTCCAAAAAATTCCAAATTAGGCCCAGGGCCCCTTTTTGGCCAATATCGCAATTCCGGCACGGTGGCTCCGCCGTGCTCCGGCGACGACGCCGCCGCTTGCGGCGGCGATTCGCCTTGGTTTGGCCGTTTTCGGCCGTTTCTGGCCACACTTGCATCGGTCCTTGCGATAAAACAACCCTAGGGTCCTCGGGGGGCCAAAAAATTACGGAAAACCGAAGCTTACCGGCGGCGGTGCTCTCGGGTGCGGCGGCTCTCCGGTGAGGTTCGTGTTTTGGTGATTCGGCTCTGATCAACCTGTAGAGAAAAGAATGATGATCACGGTGATATAAAAATTGTATCAAACGGAGGCCGGGAAGGGCCTCATCGGAGGCAAAAACCGAGGAGGGGCGCGGCGGCGCCGCTGGGTTTCGGTCGTGTTTTCCGGCTGTTTGGCCGGGATTTTGGCTCCGATTTGACCACAGGGGAAATCAGCGTAGAAAAATGAGTTGGGGGTATGAAATTTACCTTGATCGGCGGT